CTTGCGGGTATTGGCACTGGTCATCAACCAACTCCACATTAATCTGCAAAACAGATTATTGCTATACCATGTTCACAATCAACTAGCTACATCCACTGTAATGAATGTGTCATCAACGACGTATAGAAAGGCAAGTAAAAACAGACAAGTCAATTACACCCAGGATAGCCTCTTTCTGGAACTGCTCTTGGTGTGAGATTTGAAGTTACGGCACTGCATTCTAGGCGAGCGCTCTACCACTGATGTAGTGGTGCTCTGTTCGTGTGTATACATGGTAAGGTCACACCCACCATGTCCATAGTCCCCCTCTCCAGTCCAGCAGCCTCACCAGAGCACGCCAACACGACTGTACAGTCCTCAGTTGGAGCAGGATTAAGTGAACACTGATACCCTTGTCTGATAGTGAATAAAATTATAATATGGCTATTCAGTGCTGTTTATTTACTAATGTAAAGCTCAGCAGTCAATGTCGATAATAACAGTGTTTCAATTAAAAACTCTGTTTCCAATATTCTGAATAATCAGCCCTTTCATGTGATTTTGCATTTGAAAAGATTTATGCTAAACATTCGAACAACTGGAGACAAATAATTATGTGAACCTTCAGTTGACAGGTACTTTTTACTACGATACTACAATTTAATTATTATTATGGCCCAAATTTGTCACCACAATTTTTTCACGTTTCACAAATTGGTCATCCCTGTGGTGTGATATTATGGTATTACACTGTCCCAAATTTGTTAACCCAAAGTTGCCTATAAAACTTTGCTAAATTCTGTGTTGGCTAAAATGTACCTTGTTTCTGAATAGTTGAGATGTTTTAGATGATTAAGGGGAAACTTGGGACACTGTTTAATATAAAGCTTTCTGTGCAATTATATGCCAGTACAATATTCTGCCTACTGTAATTGTGAGCATAGAGAAGGAATCATAATGTCTTCACTCAAACAGAAACTGTTTGTTGCTGACCAAGGGGGTGCAGATGAGTGGGCTCCTCATTGTTCCCCTCCTGCTCCCCTTGACCTGTTTTCTTGATTTTTGCATTAGTGACGCATCGATACCCTCGTCTTTAGAAGGACCCGCGACTCCTTTTGGTGGTTGTGTTCTTGAAATCAAACAAAATAGGCTGAACTTGTATTCTCTGGTCTAGAGTACTGGACTTCAAGTAGCAACTGTGATCCATAATGGTAGTTATATGGGTGGTCGGCAGGTTGGATACGTTACTACTAGGTGTGCCCAGAGTAGATACATAGCTCTACACGTCATTCTTGTTTCAATAGTAACATACGTAAGTTGCTGGGGCATTGTACAATACTTTGGAGTGAGAGTGTATGTACTAGCAACAAGGTGTTATTAAGATATATACTTATAAGTTCTATCACAATGGCAACGCATGCTACTTATAAATTGTGTTTGCGACAGGTCAACTTTTCCTCGACATTCTACTGGTCTGCTAGTTTGAGTGCTGCCTCTCTCGCTCCCTAAATGAGAGATTCTCTGTAGGGTATATGGCAATAATTCTTCTATGTGATATAATGCGAGTTCTCTCTGTGTCTTTGCTACACACACTATTTGTAGTTTGAGCTTCACGAGTGGAACGAACTAAGCATGTGGATGGATAGAACGCGTTCCCTTTACTTGCAATGGTATGCTCATAGCGGATTCTTCCTCGTGCAAGCCTTCTCAAGGTCTCTTTTACATACTAGGATACCGTGCTAACTTGAAAGATAGAAGGTCGATTTTTATAGTTGTAATAAAACTGAGACGTGTCTAGTATATATTGTATGTGTTAGAAGGCCCAGCAGGATGGGACACAAAACAGTTAGTGAGAGATGAGAGCAAGGTCACCAATTTGCGAAAAGGGATGGATACGGTAACACTACTATCACAGTGAGCACGTAGAAATACTTGAAGGTTTCTTTGCCTACTATTTATGTTTCTGATTGTTCTCCATAGGGGGGAATACATGACAGTACGGGAAATGTCTTGGTAGACCAGGATATCTACAGACTCAAAGTATACAGGTGATCAATACAGCAACTTCAAAAATTTAAAGCTATCAACACTTTTGTTGTCTGCAGTTTAACCAGTGGGACGTACATATGGGTTGTGCTTGTTAGTGTGTAAGAATAGAGGCATGAACTATATAACCAACGTTTGACATAGGTGCTATAGGCATGCACCGGCTTACTCGAAACAGTTCATCTACACCATAATGTGCAACAAAAGAATAACTCATACATGTTATTTATGCTCTCTCGTCAAGGTTGAGCTGCACGACGCGCCCCAATCCCTGTGCCTGCTAATGATGTCTCTACTAGCTAGCATGCATAATGTACCTGGCTTGTTGCCAATGTGTTGCTGCGGATCTGTTCTTTGAGTTAAGCGCCTCGTAAGCCAGTGGAATACTATACTATCAATTAATGACAGGAATTCGCATTGAACTAGTATTAATCGCCTTGTTAGCATTTGTACGCTGCTATGCATAATATCTTTTAGATCGCAGTGACAGTAACGTGACGCAACATAGTAGTGTAGGTAACTGAGCACGAGCAGGGTGTTTAGCAGCAGACATGAAAGTTTGTCAACGTTCAAGCTCTGAGAATTATAGAAGCCTGATTCTCGATCGGTAAGTGTACACTAGCTTTTGTCCATACTTTTGTCTCGAGGTTAGCCACAGAACGCCTTCATAAAAGCGAGCACTGAACTAGCAAACGGCTACAAATGCTGCCCATGTTGCAGATGTTTTAGGGTGGTTGTGCGCATAATGCTACCTGTGCTAAATGATAAGTCACGACAGGTGCAAATCTTCTTCTCCCTTCCCTAAGTGGTTTGTGTTATACGTAAGTTAAGTTTTTTTTATGTTAGTGTGTTTCTTTCGCTAATATTTTACATAACTTGAAAGTGTTGAAGTAATAGTTTCTTATAATCTACTCTGTTCCTGCCTACAGCATCAACTGGGAAGCTCCATCCCTTCCTGGTTGTTGTTGATAAATTCCCCTCAACTTGCCTCGTTCTTCCCGACACGAATGCTAATTGTCTGGAGAAACGGAGAGGGCCTATTACAGCTATCAGTGCGGCACATGCACGACAGGGCTATTCTCCTACTTGCGCTTTCAGGTACAACTATTTTAGTTCGCTCACTTTGCACCGGGTTGCTTCGAAATGGATTGTGTCGTGGGCGAGAAGCGGGTCAGTCGGTTCTTGTTCTTACTTTGCCACCTTTACGCGGTTGTGAGATGCCGCCATGATGCAGGCCAGGACCTCCGCTCGATTCGTGTCGTCGTCCGGACTGTTGTTTATTCGACGTTGCCATAGAACTTTTTACGCATGACGCAGAGGTTCGGAAACTACACCCGGAATGCGTTTTTTTGATGATCAGGCCGTTGATCTTGGACATCAGCCGTGGGTGGCATCGAAGCTTTTGCTGAAAACAGGGCCAATAATTAGTCTCCACTTGACAGTATTTAGCAGACAGATGTATATCGTGTAGCTATATACGTGTTACAGTGAAAGTTAATAAATAATGAATTTGCTGGGGAAACCTAAAGAATTGTTTACAGTAAGGGGAAATTTTTCATAAGTGTGGGGGAAATCTACCAGTTTGTTCTATTAGGGCTTTAGGGCTCCAAGAGGATTTGTTAGTAATATCCAGTAATTGTCGTTACTAATTCTTGTTAACGTTGTGATGGTGCTTTTAATAATAAGACTCACTGTTTATTATGTTTCCCAATATCATCTGTGTGAGTTAGTTGTTTAGTTGGTTTTATGTTTTTAGCTACTCTTGTTCACCCAAAACATCAAAGGAAAGTTGGGAGTGCTTAATTTGCCATTTTAGTCTGAAAAGCATACTGCGCATTGTTTCAAGCCAGTTTTTGCCCTTGTTTGTTTGCACACCCCCCCAACCCACCAATACAGTATTCCCTAATAATTGGTTTTCATAGTTTAGACAACACTGTATTGAAAAAATACAAAAACATTTGTTAGCTATAATGGCTCCTGGGCAAATGGACATCTTTGTCCCAAGTGATGAGTAGCTAGCTAGTCCATTTGCGCTGCGGCAGGCTGCTTACCTCTTTGCAAAACCTTTGACACTCAAACTCACTCAACACGAACGATCATATAGACAACATTTCTATACGAAATTGGCCAGCCAAGGGGGCTTCACCTGTTCAATCAACCTGAACAGGGCGTTGATGTGGACATTAAATGTAAAATAACGCACATGCAAGTCGTACATAGCCTATATAAGCACATTGTATAATTGATTTATAGACATAATTGCATGGTTATAAATAGTCAAGACAGTCTCCAGGATACTCGCTAAGCATTAATCATAAATATATAGCGACAAATGGTACTTTTGCGTCGTGCGAATACCATGCAGGTTAAAACGTCATACGACCAGTGGTGTCCGGCTTTACATCCCACTGCGGTGTAAGACTACCACGGCAACTGCAGGGATCATTCCATAAGTAGCATATGGTGGCTGTATAATGAGTACTGTTAGCATCTAGATGCTCTCTACACCTGCATCTTGCATAGAGGGTACAAACCCATAGGGAAAACTGGTAGGGATCCAGTTTCACCGCTCTTAAAAACGTGGTTTCCCCGCATCAGGGGGAAACGCCCACTCCCAGAGACGGCAGAGTACTTTATTACAGGATGCGGGCAAGATGCATAGACGCATATATAGCGACTATCGTTGTTGTGTTGAGAGAGATGCACTGTTTTATCATTAGCACAGGTGAGCATTAGTGCTGCACAACACCCTAGAACTACATCTGCAACAGTGGGCACCATTTGTAGCCCGTTTAGCTAGTTCAGTCTCGCTTTTATGAAGCGTCTGTGGCTACCTGCGAGCAAAGTATGGACAAAGCTGTGTATACCGTGAGAATCAGGCTCTTTTTTAGTGACTTGAAACTTTCATGTCTGCTGCTAAACACCCGCTAGGGTCAGTTACCTACACTACTACTTGTTGGCGTGCTCTCATAAATTTATGCATAGGTTAGCGTACATCAAAGCATTATTATGCATGCTAAATCGTCTAATTTGAATTATTTAGGTTACAGCTACCAGAAAGCGAGACTGTACAGGTCAATACAGCACAGTAATCAACACTGGTCTCAGCAACTCCGCAGATAATGTGAGTTTTAGCATAGTTGTTATTGTTTCAGTATGGCTTATAGCTACCTATGTCAAACGTTGGTTTTATATTCATGCCTCTATTCTTATGAATAACAAAGCAACAATTATGTTGTTGGTAAAAGAAGAAAAGGTGAACTTTATTTGTTGAAGTTGCTGCTATTTCCTGTATATACTGTGTTGGTACACAGTCCAGCTGTCATGTTTCCATAGTAAAACCAAATAAGGAACATCCACCCTGAGTGTGTTATCCAGCTTCCCACATGTGCTCTTTCCTTACATCTGTTTCCTTTTGCTGTGCTCAAAACACATATCTAATCACTTTTACACTATAAAACACTCTTCTTCATTAGCACTTCTGTCTAAATGAGCTGGTGAGAGGAGAGAAGTCCAAGAGACCTTCATAGGGATGCGTTCTCTCTCCCAGCTATCTTTAAGCTCATGTCATAATTGTGTGTAGCACAAGAATAACGTAATATTATAATTATATAACCATAATAACCCATGGGGGGCTCAGAACCTAAGCAAATGAATTCGAGGAAAGTTATACTGTAGCTAAAATAAGGTTTGCTTGTGATAGAATAATGAAATAAAACCTTTTTATACTCTCACTATAGTTCATTGGAACATATGCTGAGATTGAGCTCGTCACCACCAGCTCAGCCCTCCCACCACCACCAATGACAGGGGAGACTGTCCAGTACTCTAGACCCAGAGAAAAGCAGCCATGTTGTCAGACACCACAGGAGCCGGTTCAAGGCGAGGTCGTCTCTAACGATGGAAGATCACAGGGTCAAGGGGAGCAGGAGGGGAACAATGAGGAGCCCACTCATCTGCACCCCCTTGGTCAGCAACAAACAGTTTCTGTTTGAGTGAAGACATTATGATTCCTTCTCTATGCTCACAATTACAGTAGGCAGAATATTGTACTGGCATATAATTGCACAGAAAGCTTTTATATTAAACAGTGTCCCAAGTTTCCCCTTAATCATCTAAAACATCTCAACTATTCAGAAACAAGGTACATTTTAGCCAACACAGAATTTAGCAAAGTTTTATAGGCAACTTTGGGTTAACAAATTTGGGACAGTGTAATACCATAATATCCACACCACAGGGATGACCAATTTGTGAAACGTGAAAAAATTGTGGTGACAAATTTGGGCCATAATAATAATTAAATTGTAGTATCGTAGTAAAAAGTACCTGTCAACTGAAGGTTCACATAATTATTTGTCCTCCAGTTGTTCGAATGTTTAGCATAAATCTTTTCAAATGCAAAATCACATGAAAGGGCTGATTATTCAGAATATTGGAAACAGAGTTTTTAATTGAAACACTGTTATTATCGACATTGACTGCTGAGCTTTACATTAGTAAATAAAACAGCACTGAATAGCCATATTATAATTTTATTCACTATCAGACAGTTTCACACATAATTATTTGTTCCATCACAGTTGATTCGACATGTTTAAGCATAAACCTTTTCAAATGCAACATCACATGAAAGGGCTGATTATTCAGAATATTGGAAAGCGAAGTTTTTATAAAATGAACACTGTTAATATCGACATTGGACTGGACTGAGCTTTAGCATTAGGAAGAAAGAAAAAGGAAGAGCAAAAGGGTAAGAAAAAGATACAAAGGGACCGGCAAAGAAAGAGAGAAGAGAAGAAGTTAAAAGGGAGGAGTAAGCAAGAAGAAGAAGGGAGGGTAAAAGAGAGAAGAAAAAGGGAAGAACAGAAAGGCAAGGAGTTACAGAAAGAGTATAGAAGAAAGAAAAAGAAGGGTTAAAAGAAGGAGGAAAAGAAAGAAAGGAAGAGACGGAGGAGTAAAAAGAGAGGAAAAGTAATGAGATAAAGAGAAGAAAAAGTAAAGAGAAGAGGGAAGAAAAGGAGGACAAAAGGTTAAAAAATAAAAAGCACTGTGAATAGCCATATTATAATTTTTATTCACTTATCAGACAAGGGTATCAGTGTTCACTTAATCCTGCTCCAACTGAGGACTGTACAGTCGTGTTGGCGTGCTCTGGGTGAGGCTGCTGGACTGGAGAGGGGACTATGGACATGGTGGGTGTGACCTTACCATGTATACAAACGAACAGAGCACCACTACATCAGTTGGTAGAGCGCTCGCGCTAGAAATGCAGTGCGTAACTTTCAAATCTCACACCAAGAGCAGTTCCAGAAAGAGCTATCCTGGGTGTAATTGACTTGTCTGTTTTTACTTGCTTGGCCTTTCTAATAAAAAAAGATAGAGTCGTTGATGAAGACACAGTGTCAATTACAAGCTGGAATGTAAGCTAAGTTAGAGAAAAGAAATAAGAAAAATAAATGAGAAAAAGAAAAATAAGAAAAAGAAAAAAAAGTGGAATGTAGCTAAGTTTGAAAAAAAATAAAGGATTTGAAAAGAGAGAGATAATGAAAAGAATAAGAGAGACAAAAGATGAAAGAAAATAAAATGATTAAAAGGAAGAAGATGAGGAATAATGAAATAGTATGATTCATGAATTTTAACGATAGAATTAGATAAAAAGGAATTGTGAAACAAATGGTACTAACAAAAGAAAAGAAGAAATTAGTAGAAAAGGAGAAAGCAATGAAATCTGTATTGCAGAATTATGTGGAGTTGGTTGATGACAGTGGAGCCAAGAGACTGAGCAGAAGTGATGTTAGTTGGTATGAAAGAGAAAGGAGTGGCGTGAGGTATGGTACAGATGTGTCCGTCATTTCTGCTGAGCAGAATTGGATATCTCAAAACCAAGACTATCCGAGGAACGCCATTAAGCTTAACATGCTTAAACAATCACCAAACAAAGAGGGATTAGGGAGGTTTATCGTAAAAACATATGGTAAAGAACTGAATTAATCCGCAAAACTGCAACTGTTTTTTTTCTACTGAAGAAATAGTGGAGAAATGTGTTTCACAAGACGCAAAGGTATGTTTATAGAATACTCAGGGGTGAGCCTTGTTTACAAACTACAACCAAATCACCAGTACAAAAAAAAGAAATAACAACAAGGATACATTTCTTATTCACAAAAACATAAGTAGACTGATGTAATAAGTACTGAGACCAAGAATAATGTCTGTGTAAATAAAAAGTGTAACAGACAAGAAAAATGGTACACAATAGTTTGTTTTTTAAAAGGCCACAGCCTCCACATTAATAATAAAAAAAGTATTACTCCTCGCCACGACAAACTCAAGATATTGCTCTATCTTCACTGTGATTAGCACTGCAGAGTGCAAGCGTGTCTGATTTAAATTTCAGTAATAACTGTGGCTTTGACTCAATTGACTGTTTTGGGGTTAGTCAACCAGAAACTTTCGATGTGTGTTTGGCAAACGAACATAGCTAGCAGCATGATCTTTGGACTGCAGATAAGTACCACACACCGCAACATTTGGACGCTTCACCACTTCGCTTGCCAAGCATTCCTCTACTAATCTAGATGTTCTTTGTTTATTGCAGGGGCTCTCCCAGTCAAAGATGATCCAGAGGTGGAGCTCCCAATCTCAGACAAGACTCCTGCCCCAGTTCTGCCCCACGCAGAGCCACATCGGGTGATAACGAAGGGACTCCAGCAATCCCCCCACACAGGCCCTTGATCTGTGATAATGAAGGAGCCCCAGCCGTCCCTCCACACAGGTTTTAATTAGAGATAATGAGGGTGCCCCTGCCATTTCCTCCCATAGCCACAGACTTGGAGTTGCCTATAACGCTGCAGCTATTTCTCTAGAGAGGACCGAGAGTGATTGTGATGAAGGGACTCCCCCACCTCCTCCACTTCCTCCTCCCTTAGCCCCTGAGGATATTGATTTTTGATTACTACTGAAATAGATTTACTTTAATCATTAGTTTAAGTCATACAAGGATCAATAAGACTGCAGCATTAATTGTTCATTAATTTTTTGTTTTATCTTTGTGCAATACGTGTTTATGAGATTTTCTAAGCTGCAAAAAAGCTTCTGCATTAAGAACCAGCATGTCTACCACATCTATGGTTTGAACGATAAAAATCATTATTAAACTGGTATATATCTGTTTCTCAACTCAAGGACACACTCTTCCACCAGTGACACCATTCCTTGCCCCTCCCCCCATTCAATTAACTGCTGACAATAAACACTCCGTTATTCAAGTGAGGGTAAAAAGAAAATGAACGTCACCTATATTCTTATGTAAAACAAAGCAACAAAATGTCGTTGGTAAAGAAGAAAAGGTGAACTTTATTTGTATTAGCTACCTCATTGAACTTGCTGCTATTTTCCTGTATATACTGTGTTGGCGTACAGTCCTGCTGTCATGTTTCCATAGTAAAACCAAATAAGGAATATCCACCCTCAGTGTGTTTTCAACCTTCCCACATAGGCTCTTTCAGTGTTTACTTCCTTACATCTGTTTCCTTTTACTGTAGCTACTCGAAACACATATTATCTAGTCACTTGTACACTATAACACACTCTTCTTCATTAGCACTTCTGTCTAAATTATTATATATAATTATAGCTAGCTGGTGAGAGGAGAGAAGTTCCAGATTCATAGGGATGTGTTCTCTCTCCCAACTATCTTTATGCACATGTCATAATTATGTGTAGCACAAGAATAACGTAATATAGCTACCATAATAATCCATGGGGGCTCAGAGCTAGGAAAGTTTTTCATATTGTATATACCTATAATGTTTTCTTGTCATAGAATAATCAAATCAAACCTTTTTACACTAGTTCGTTGGAACATAATGCTGAGATTGAGCTCCTCACCACCAGCTCAGCTCTCTCACCACCACCAGTGACAGGGGAGACGGTCCAGTACTCCAGAGCCAGTGGAAAAGCAGCCATGTCGTCAAACACCACAGGAGCCGGTTCGAGGCAAGGTTTTTTTCTAACGATGGAAGATCACAGGGTCAAGGGGAGCAGGAGGGGAACAATGAGGAGCCCACTTACCTTCATCCCCTTGGTCAGCAACAAACGATTTCTGTTTGAATGAAGACATTCTTTCTCTAAATGTTTAGATTCTCAGTTCCTAATGCTCACAATTGCAATAGGCAGAATTTTCGGTCAGTTCTTCTAAGTTTTGAGTCACGAAATCTGCTGGTCAGCATTTTCATTGTTCTTAGCTCATAACCCATGTTCATAACCTTTTTTTCTTAATATAGGTTACACTATGCCCACTAGACGGTTTAGTGGACATACACTACGAGTGCGCAGCACAAGTAGTGTAGGCACTAAACCATCGAGTGGGTGTAGTGTAACCAATTTGTACCACAGGAATTCGCACTAAGACAACTTATTAGTTGCATGCCATGGTGTATGAGAGCTCATACACCACATGTGAGTGTATGGCTGAGTCAGCACACCATACACCATGGCATGCAACTAATAAGTTGTCTTAGTGCGCTTACAATCCAGCTCATTGTGAATTTTCTTTCGAGGTTCCACGCGACGAATTTTCCCCATGACTTCACGAGACAGCCTCCACGTGACACTCCGTGTCTGTCTTGTCCGCACTGCTGCTACTATTGTGCTGGAGTCGCCACGGTCAAAAGTAAGTCTTGCTATTACGATTACGAATATATATAAATCACGTATAATTTACTCCAAGGCTTGGGTTTCTGGAGTTGGGGCCTCAAGTTAATTATGATTCAAGGCAAGTTGTCTGGATTACCCTCATTGCCTATTTTAATAGGGGTGCCTGACAACTCTCCTTCCTGCATCCCTTGGCCTCTAGCTAACACTTCTCTGCTGACAGTCGTGGCTGATAAAAAGAACCTCACCCTGTTTCTTCAATCGCAAGGCCCTCCACTGTGCTCTACCACCGCTCTGCTGTCGTCACTGCCACCCGGGCTTCGCCTTATCGCTTGAAAAGGAGGGCAGTAGATATTATGTGCAGAATCTCGAGAATATAAAGGCTACAGGTAGATCCCTTTGTCAGTCAGACCCTGGTAAGTGGCTAGGACCTCCTATCATGCTGACCCTGGTAAGAAAAAGGCAGCTGTTGCCCAGTTGAAGGAAAATATTGCTGATATGGCTGCACTATAGATGTAACACAGACAGTGGGAAGGATACCCAGCCATTATAAGATTATCTGGGAGTTGTTTGGCAGGTGGGGCTCTGAAGTGTTTTCCCTTATCACCACTGCTGACTTGTACATTCCTTCACCCTTATCCCACTTCCAACCTAGCCTTTGTTACAGTAACTATTGTAAGCCTACTCCTTACATTGTCTGTCTACTCCTCTGTATTATGGTTTGATGGTGCTATATGTTCAAATGGGTTGGACTGCAACTGCACTCTCAAGCTACAACCTGAACCCTACAAACTTCTGGCTTCTACTGCCCAGTCGCTACTAGCTATATACCCCTGGCCTCCACCTTTCACTTCAGCTGGAATAGACCTCTCCTAAAGAAAAAAACTTTCATTCACAATTCACAACAAAGCATATTGTATAATGAATGTTGGTTTAGTTTTGTACTTGCGCATGTGCCCGCTAGTCTCTCATGCAAGAATTGCGCAAAATTGCAAACTACGTCACGACCATCCCCCCTTCCCCCACAATGCACTGTGAGTGTGTGTGTGATCAAATCTTCAAGTCACAAATATGCAGTGCATAAATTTCCACCCACGCGTGTGTGAACCCTAATGCGTGCAGCCCCTCGCTTGTCGCTCTGCAACGCGAAAAGGGTGGGGCTGAGCATGTGCCAAAAAAGTAAGTGGAACAAGTGGAAAAATCATTTCTTCAAAATGAAGGGGGATGTAGGGATGGTGTAAATTATGAAAAAGGATACCAACAAGAAAGATGCTTCGGCTGAAAACAAAAATCATACATCCATCCCTGCAAACTGCAGAGGAGTAGACAAACAAAGTCTGAAAATTCGAAACTGAACTTTTTTTTACAAGAGAAAACGCTATTATCAAGATTGACTGTTGACATTTACATTAGCAAGTAATTTTTATTCACAATCAGACAAGTATATCAGTGTTCACTTAATCCTGCTCCAACTGAGGACTGTACAGTCATGTTGGCGTGCTCTGGGTGATGCTGCTGGACTGGAGAGGGAGACTATGGACATGGTGGGTGTGACCTTATAATGTAGAATGCAGTGATGTGAGTTCGAATCCTACGTGGTGCAGCTCTCCTTTTTCTTTAGAAAAAAGAGCTGTCTTGGGAATTGTTGACTTGTTTGCTGTGCCTTGCCTTTCTACCTCGTTGATGACTAGGCTTTGGTAATTATGTTGGCATATTATTTTAGGCATGCATAAGTATTTAGGAATAGCTAATGCTAGCATTATAGGCATCTTCTACTGGCATAATTTCGAACAATTTAGGGCATTATCCTGCACCACCAAATGGTGTGGTGGGCGTACTCCAATCAGCGCGCTGGCAACGCTGTCGCACGCGCGCCGCCGCCGGCAAGCTCGCGTGTGTTGACCTCCTATACTATACACCACATGGCATGCAAAAATGCGCGTGTGAATGTAGTACACAACCGGCGGGCACGAGTTTTGTGACTGATGATGACGAGGCTGGATCAGACGCAACTGCTAGCAAAAAAAGGAGATAGAATTTTACGTAAAAAACTTGAGCATAATTTGCCAAAGCCTATTGATGACACATTTTCATTGCAGTGAATGTAATATAGCCACTTGTGAAATGATATAGGAATCATTCCCTAAGAAAAATAATGTTGTGCAGATTGACGTGGAGTTGGGTGAGTGACAGTGCCAAGCTGGCAGAGTTGGTGTTTTGGTGGTATGAGAGAAAGGAGTGTGTGAGGTGGTCAGATGTGTCCTCTCTCTGTGAGCAGATTGGTTTCAACCAGCTATCCGAGGCATTAGCACTGCTTACATCACTGGTGAGTTTATCGTAGTATCGTAAATGGATTTCCGCAAGAAGCATTTTTCTGAAATGGTGAGAATGATTGTGTTTCCGTGCAAAGTTGTTTATCCAGGGGTGGCCTTGTTTACGCTACCTCACCAGTACATATACAAGTGGAAAAATCATTTCTTCAAAATGAAAGGGGGATATAGGGATGGCTTGAAGCACCAAAAAGGAAGAAACAAGGGGTCATTACACAGCAAAGTTGCACAAAGCTACATGACACCATCCCTATATCTTTGTGTTATTGTTCACAACCAATCTCGCCCTGCTGACATTTTCCTCCCTAATTGGGAAAGAGCCGCGCTTGCCGTCTCCGTCATTTCCACTCTGCAACAGTTTACCTTGAAGTAAAGTTTAATATGAGACAAAGATATAGGGATGGTGTCATGTAGCTTTGTGCATCTTTGCTGTGTAATGACCCCTTGTTTCTTCCTTTTTGGTGCTTCAAGCCATCCCTATATCCCCCTTTCATTTTGAAGAAATGATTTTTCCACTTGTTTCCACTATTTTTCACGCCTTATGACAACACTGCATTTTCAGTCACTCTGATGTTCATGGGTGTTGTAGAGATAACTGTTGAAAGCAGAAGCTAATGGGCTGCTCCTACCTGAAGCAGGGTGTATGTGTAGTGTCTCCAACAAGGATGCAATTAGATTGTGGCACATATGGTGGGGTGGTTTCATAGGCAGGCTTCAGTAATCAGACTACAATGATAGCTATAACCTGGGGGACAAAGAATGAAGGCGCCTGGCAAGGCACGCGTAACACGCGCAGATTGCCAAGTTGCTCCTCGTGCAAATCAACAGCAAAACGCAAGCTAGCCACTTACAAATGTGCACACTGACTTACAGAAGGCACCGAAGGATGAGAGTAGTTTTCTCTGAAGGCATCCAGTCCTGGCTTAGTCTCGTTCGTGGACCAGGTTTACGAGACAAAATGCGCGCGCGCCGCATTGGAAACGCCCTCCTCGGCGCATGCGGCTCACTGATGCTGAGTTATCAACAAAATGGCGTTGTTCAGTGACTACCGAGGAAGAGCTCAACGATCTACCGTAGTGACTTGCGGCAAGAAAGAAACGATCGCTTGATATGCATGCACACCTCCGGCAAATTCGGAGACGTTCTGTGAAAAAATCAACGCTTCAAGTGCTTCGGTAAGGAGATAGCGGGTCTGAAGAAGAAGAAGAAGAAGAAGAAGATGAAGAATATGATGATGACACGAAAATCGTGAAATCGCGTATGAGCGAATTCTCGCGTGGACGACTGAAGGTGCGTATGAGGTCTTGGGGGACATGTATAGGTAGATATGGGCCCGTAGACTATTGCTAGTATGTTTTGAAGGCCTAGGGAGTGATTCTCACGGAGATTTTAGTCGTTTTGTACGCGGATCACGTGAGATTTCACCCGTGTCGTCCCTATATAGAGAGTCTACCGACTCTCTGATACTCTTTCCTGCTAGAGTCGTGATGGGACTTTCGCTATACTGTATAGTCTGCCAGTAATGTCTGTGTACAGAACAGAAATATCCAGAGTGTTTTTGGGGCCCACCTAAGCATGCATGCACTACATAGTTACCCAAAAGTTTCAGTAATAACTGTGACTTTGACTCAATTGACTGTTTTCGGTTAATGAACTAGAAACTTTCGATGTGGTGTTTGGCAAACGAACATAGCAGCATGATCTTTGGACCACAGATAATATAAGTACCAGTAAAGAAATGCAGTCTTTAGAAAGTAGCCACTGACCATACTACCATAAAACTAGGTTCCAATGCACAATCTAAAACAGCATGAATGTTGCACTTGGCCTTCCTTGTCATTTTAATGAAGTAACAGGCACTGTATACAACGTGCAAAACATGTGTGACAATGTTGACGCTTCATCACTTCACTTGCCAATAATCTGTTGCATTCCTCTTGTAATAAATTTATTGCAGGGGCTCTCCCAGTCAAAGATGATCCAGAGGTGGAGCTCCCAATCTCAGACAACACTCCTGCCCCAGTTTGCCCCCACGCAGAGCCACATCGGGTGATAACGAAGGGGCTCCACCCATCCCCCACACAGGTCCTTGATCTGTGGTATGAAGGAGCTCCAGCCATCCCTCCACACAGGTTCTAATAAGAGATAATGAGGGTGCCCCTGCCATTTCCTCCCATAGCCACAGACATGGAGTTGCTTATAACGAGGAAGCTGCAATTTTTTTTCTCTACAGAGGACCGAGATTGATTGTGATGAAGGGACTCCCCCACCTCCACTTCCTCCTCCCTAAGCCCCTGAGGATATTGATTATTGATGACGATGGTCATACGTTTACATAGAGTCGTTAGTCATACGAGGATCTGTAAGACTACAGCATTTGTTGTGTTTATCTTTGACTGTATTAGTCTGATATTCTCAGCTGCCTATGACAATATAAAGTTTACCAGCATGTGTACCACATCAATGGTTTGAACCATTATTAAACTGGTGTCTGTCTCAACTCAAACGCACATAATTAGCTCACCTCTTCTACCCTTGCATTTCACCAGACACAATCTGATATTACATGGGTGAGATTGTTGAACACTGATGGGATTATCGCCATAATATTTTTCTTAGCTCCAAAACGTCTATAATGAAATATCTTCCCACAACTCACTATATTATACTCAACACAAAGGATGCATTGCTGACTCAAGTAACTGGAAATGCTCAAACCTATCCTCAAACTTCCTCAGCAGGTCAACTAAGAACAGCTAATGTACAGTGGATACTCACACACCACACCAACACAGACTCCTTCACCCCTTCCCTCCCTCCAGACTCTCATCATTGAGTCCTTGCGTCCCTGACCTGAACCTGAACGTAATCTTGGCCCAGCATCAATAGCGCCATACCCAAACACGCTCTGTATGTGTGCTCTGCTCAGTGAGGGTGTAAAGAAACCAATGTCAATTAACTGAAAATCTTTCTGCACATGCAAGCGTGCCGAAAGCATGCTCCCTGTGCATTAATCCTTTGGACGCCATTTAGCGTGGCTCAGCAAAAAAAAAGAAAAAAACCTAGGTGAGTCACCCCAGGAGTGACGTTGGGATTTGCGTATGTATATAGGTTTCGATGAGGAGCTCCACTGCAACTCTTTCCGCCATTAGCATGGCTCAGAAGCTCCCATCTCGTGTGCATGCTCATACAATAGTAGGCGGGGTGAAGTGAACGATAATAGTAGTCCGTACAATGCATTATGACAGAGTGAAAAATTAAAAGTTATTACAGAAGGAAGAATTGCGAAAAGTGTAGGAAGAATTTCAGGAAGAAATAGAGGAAATATTTCTGCTCTACGTGCAGGAAAAATCCTTGTATTCTTCCTGTACATGAGGAAATGTCCTACATTTTTGCTTGAAATTTCTGTACATTTCCGCCACATTCCCCAAACATTATGATATTATGGTTTCTTATTAGAGAGTGTTTAGCAACGCACATCAGAGCTCATGTTGCTGAATCAATGTTAGCTGGTTAGCTGGTATGTCCTACATTTAAGGTGACTGGAGTTGGGCTATCTGGTGTGCCACATAGGCGCCAGAGCCGTAGCCAGAGTGGGTGTAGCCATAGTCACTGCTGTTCATACTCTCTCCTGCAAAATACAGACTGTCATTGACTGGCTTTAGAAGGTCGAAGACAGCTTCCGGGACTCCTGTGCGGTAGGCCGTAAAGGCACAGCGGAACAAGGGATCACTGCTCCATTTCGATACGAGAGAGCCCTGTATGGATCCGGTATGTCTGGCCCAAATATCTTCCTGAGAATAGTCATGACTTCACACATGGTCTCTTTTTCACTCCGTTTTGAGACTCTCAGGTCCAGATTCTCAGCAACGTCAACAGTGATGACATTTGGGGTTAGTTTGTCTAGAATGTAATAGGCCTCGTTAGAGACGTATCCCAGGACCTGCTGGTCTTCCTCGGTGACATTCCAAAAAGAAGAGTTGAAGAGGAGATGAACCTTGCCGTAGTAGACTGGGGTGGCATTCCTGATGGCATATTGTTTCCAGTCGGGCAGCGGTGGTTTAAAACAAACAGAGTTCTCCTCTTCGTTAACTGCTGCATGGAGGGCTCCTATACTAAAGGTCACAATGCCATACCTCCCACAGTATCGTGACGATCCATTCACAGTTGCGCACACACAGTCCTCTGCCGTGTGTACTGCAGTCACAACAGAGTTGAGTTTCACACGATCTTTCTTGAAGTTTCTCGCAAGGCACTCTGTCACGAAGGAGTACCCCTTCCTATCAGTCACAAGGTAGTCCACAGCCGTAGCATTCGGCTCTGGACCCAAGAAGGCATAGTAGGTGTATGGAGGGAAGTAAAAGAGCAAGGATGCTTCATCTGGTGTGATGGCACTGTCAAAGTCACACTTGTCCCACTCAGTAAAGTTGTCCAGATGGAGTGAGTGGGGTCCATCCCTCCTTCATGAAGCCCTCCCTGAGGGAAATGTCACCAGCCAAGATCATCGCCAACTGGCAAGCTTTCTTGTACGCCTCATCAAACACCGCCTTTCTCTTCAAGTACGTACCATTCTCGTCCCAAATGTCGTACTCACCACCAGAGCTATTGTAGACCCGAGTGAAGTCAAAGGGAGTGACACTGCCATCTGGACCATCTTCGTCACAGGCTGTCCACTCTCTCCAGATGGGGTGGTGCTCCTTGTCCCTCATGTCCAGTCCGTGGATCCAGTTAGCCCCAAGCTCCAGGCCCGCGCCATCGTCCGTCCTGATTCGACCTCCTGTCCTGTCCCGTCCCCTGCCTCCAGGACCAGAAAGTCTGTGACACCGTTCACCTCCAGTGTCCTAGCTTCGGTGACCCCAGTGATCCCTGCTCCCAAGTATCAGGACGTCCACCTCGGGAGACCCTGCCGTCCACGTTCAGACTGCACGACGCAGACAACACAGCACGGCTAGCAGCTCCACAGACCAGCAGCAATAACCCCAGCACATGCATTACTCAGTTGCGTTGTGAGACTTGTTAGGCTGCAAAAGCGAAACCAACGCAAGAGTGAAACAGGATTGGAATGCGCAATTAAGGCCGCACGGCCATCCGGTATCGGAACGTGTAACCGCATGCGGAAGTTCCTTATCCTGGGACTAAAGGAGGAAGAAACGTCTCTCAGACCATCCTCACACTTGTACTTTAGCAGCAAGTCGAAGGCATTATGTGTAGAGCCTCGTTTCGCATTTGCGTTAGGTGCGTTGGTTAACGCATAAGCGAAACGGATGTCAATCTAAGCAAGGTTATAGCTAGGTAGGTACTTTTTATTACCATTATTGTTGTAATTTGAATCTTAGTTTCTTGCAGAGTGAAGGAAAAGTTCTGGAGGTTGTGGCAAACGACACTGGTCCTATCACAAATGAGAGAAGCATTGAACAGGTAGAGGAGAACATTCCACATTCACCTTCTAAGGAGGAGGCAAGCAGTTTTGTAGTTAGTAAGGAAGAGATAAGTCCTGCAGCTAAAAAGGAAGATAATCATAATTATTGTGATTGATGATTCTCAATCAGGCGAAAGTGAGTGGCCAACGTCATGGATTCCATCTCTTCCAATGCATGGCTATCGGACTCCATAATAAATGCTGCACAGTTGCTATTAAAAAGGGGAAATGCACTGGTTGGAAGTTTACAAAATGTCAACTTTGGGCTCACAAATTCATTTGAACTGGAAACAGGGGAATTCATACAAATAATCCACACTGGGGAGGGCCACTGGCATGTGGTATCGACAATTGGAACTCAACATCCTGATGTCAATGTGTTTGACAGTATGTACTGTCATTGCCCTGAACATAGCAAGGTACAAATATCAAACTTGCTAATGACAAAGAAAAACACAATTCGACTTCACTACAACAGTGTTCAAATGCAGTCAGGCCAGGCAGACTGTGGCCTTCTTGCCATTGTATTTGTGACTGCACTTTTTAACGGCTTACATCCTGGGGCGGATAATTTCGATCAGAGTTTGATGCGATCACACTTACTCAATTCTTTTGAGAGGGGGAAATGGAAATTTTTCCAATTATAAAAGAGAGGCGGGTTAAGAAGAAAGATTAAAAGAATAGAAGAATTCAATGTATACTGCAGTTGTAGAAGGCCGCTAACACGTGGAGCTCAATTCATCCAGTGTGGGGCATGCCGGGAATGGTATCACATCGATTCTTGTGTAAAGATTGACAAAGGTTTTATAAATACCAAGAAGAAGTGGTTATGTTACCTCTGTAAGTGCTGAAAGGCAAACAAGCTTTCTTCATGCGTACCATTTTGTCTCTTTCACCATGTAACCTTCTTCAAAACATACCCATGCCTTACTCCAGTGACAATACTCATGAGTGTCATTATTATTGTACCATTCCACATAATTATTATAACTTCTATCAAAATAATCTTCTAACCATGTCTTCATTATCCGTCGCTTTTCTCTCTGAGCAGCAGCTCTAAAGAGACTCATTAGAGACTTCCCTGGCTGTTCCCTTCCCAATTTTGTCTACTGTCTCCTTTGTCTCCTTAGTCTCTTTGTTACACAAGATGAAGTGTATAGCAGATTCTATACTGTACGTCTAATATCTTGTCAGCAACGGTGTAGCACAGGAGAGCGCAAAATACTAGAGCGCGCTCCACTTTTTAGGCGTGTCGTTTCGCTCTTGCGTTGGTTTCGCTTTTGCAGCCTAACACCCCCTTCATTTTGAAGAAATGATTTTTCCATGTATGTTTGTGATGGTTAGTCGGTCTGGTCTGTCTCAGCCGAGGTCCTGTAAGAGACAGCAAAACCCCTTGATGACAAATTTCGTGAATATTAATTAATAAACAGTTTGGGGACAGGGCTAGTCAGAGGGGATACAGTACACTGTTTAGAACACAGCTACACACCTTGAACGGTTGGCTTGTATGCATGGCACAATTGCCCAACAGTGCATGCGTTCAGCTCTGCTCGCTACTATTAAACACACCATATTCTTTCTTTGGCATTTTCATTTTTCCCTTGTGTACATCATCACCGGAATCGGAGTCCACTAAAAGGATAGCCTATTTCATTTACAGATGTGCATGTATTAAGCAAACATACGTGAGGAAAGTAGTGCCTTGGCCCTTCCTCTCGCAGCAGTCATGCGGGCCATTTTATCACACTCTGCTGTCCGTGGCTTTTTGGCAGGAGATGGTTCTACATCCGTTGTGCTGTCGACAGTCTCAATAGTCTCCACTTCATTCAGTATCTCTTCACTAGTTATATCCATTTTAACTAGGCGGTCACAGTCCCTCAATAGAGCCTGCCGGTCATCTGTGCATGGTAGTCATTATGTTAACAGTGCGCGTTAAATCGGCTATACACAAAAAAACACGTGTAGTAGAAGATAGCCAGGGAAAACGAAACACAAACTCACCCGAAACCTTTAACACTTGCGCCTCATAAACTTTCTTTAGCCACTTGAAATCTCCGTAAACTCCTGGGTAAACTTTTTGCCCAGTCTTCGCAGCTGTAACGGGGAGTACGCTGACAGTCTCATCTTCGATCCATCGCAGGAGGCAAAACGTTTTCTTCTCTGTCGACTTCTTCTCTTTTCCACGCTGAGGAGGAAAATCTACAGTTCTTGTCCGAAAATGACTCCATCCACGAGCTACCTGTCAATGAACTAAGCACTGCCTCACGTTCACAAACTGTGTTGTTTCAGAACTGTCCACTGACGGTTACCAGTAGTCTCCTCCTAATAAAAAAATATCAAATGAGGCATAACCTTACACAGGAAGCACTGTCTGATCTTTTGCAGCTGATGAGGCTACATTTTCCCACTCCTAATCTTCTACCCAGATCGCTTTATTTGTTCAATAAGCAGTTGCCTCTTCTGAGAGATCCGTTGGAGTTTAATTATTTCTGTAGTAGGTGCTTGCAAGAAGTTTCTAGCAAGGATGAATCAATATGTACAAACTCCTCTTGTGGGTGTTCCTTATCTGGACCTGGAGCTATTTCATCATTTATTGAAGTTCCCTTGGAACCTCAGCTATCGACCCTTTTACAAAGTATGATCATTAGCATAGTGTTAACCTTACAGAATATCCTTTGCACACAGGAAAAGGCATATTTTCCACAATTGAAAATTACCGACGGATAAAGAAGGATGGTTTTATCAGTGATATCAGCGATGGATCTTTGTATCAGGAACTGGTAACAAGCGGTTTTCTTTCAGTCCACTCCAACGTATCTTTACAATTCAATACTGATGGAGTCCCTGTTTTCAGATCTTCTTCATTTTCCTTCTGGCCCCTACATATCATCATCAATGAGATGCCACCAAGAATGAGGTTCCACATTAACACAATAATTTTAATGCTTTACAACTTTACCTCCATACATGCAGGATTCGAAAGGAGAATAGGCTCTTTGCTGGCATATGGTATGGCAGCTCAAAACCAGATATGTCACTGTTTTTGAAGCCTTTAGCTGAAACACTGACAAAGCTGTACAAAGACGGTGTGTTGCATCTTGCACTTCCAGGACACACATCTTTGTACAATGCATTCTGCAGGAGTAACCATTACTGTTCCCGGAGGAGAAGTCATTTCACGTGCCGTGCTCATTTGCTGCACTTGTGATATGCCAGCAAAAGCACAGGTGCTAAATGTGGTGCAATACAATGGTTTTTATGGATGTCCATGCTGCTTACAAAAAGGTTGGCACCAAGCACTGGACTGTTTTTTGTTACTGCTTGTTATTGTGTCAGGTGAAACAGTGAGGACAGGAAGTCGTGGAAGAGTTCATTCTTTCCCTTACTTATCCAAAGACCCGGTTGGCCCAACTCGGACAGATGAAGAAACCCGTGAACATGCAAAACAGGCCCATTTGGAAGGTTCTCCGGTATGTATTGAACACACATGGTGTTTTTTATGGCACATGACACATGATGGCCAGTCATATATGCTTTTTAGGTGTTTGGAGTCAAGGGACCATCTCAGCTCTCTGTTGTTCCCAAGTTTGATCTTGTTCGCGGAGTAGCCATGGATTATATGCACTGTGTCCTTCTGGGTGTTACTCGTCTGCTACTTCGTCTTTGGTTTGGTTCTAGTCACCATCGTGAGCCGTGGTACATTGGAAGACGCATTGCAGAGGTTGATGCGAGGTTATGTGCCATTCGGCCTCCAGACGAAATTCCCAGGACTCCAAGGTCAATTCAAAAAACAGTGAAATACTGGAAAGGTAATTAATCTACATTATGTCTAGAATTATTGAACATATCCTTTTGCAGCTCATGAGCTTGAAGCTTGGCTGCTTCATTATAGCCCTGCCGTTCTGCATAAGATTCTCCCCGAAGATTACTATCAGCATCACTTGCTATTGGTGGAAGGCATATATTTGTTGCTGAAAAATGAAGTAAGGGAGGCTGATATCAAACAGAGTTCCCGAATCCTCAATCACTACTGCATCCTCTTCACTGCATATTACAGTCAGTTTTTTTTTGGTTACATGTGACATATCTAGTAATTTTAATGCAGATGACCGGTACATGACAGCCACGGTGCATTCTCTTATGCATCTTCCTGATTCTGTTTGTAATCTTGGACCTCTATGGTGTCATTCGTGTTTCCCCTTTGAAGCAGCAAATGGAGATTTACTTAAATTATTTCATGGCTCCCAATCGGTTGAGAAACAGGTAATGCTACCGCTGTACAGCTATAGCCGAACTCCTTCAACAAAATATATTGTGGGTGTTTCATTTTTAGATTATTTGTGTCACTCACTTTAGGTCGCAGCTCACTTAAGTGAACTGCAAAAAATGCCTACTTATGCTGAGTCGTCACTTACAGAAGACAGTGCAGAAATGGACTTCTACTTAAGCATGAATCAGTCACGAAGAATGTTAGTGTAACTAGTTGTATAGTGGTCCCTTCTCAAAGTGTTGTTTTCAGGGTGAAGAATGTTGTTTCTGTAGCAGAGGGTGTGAGTGTGTGCGGCAAACCTTGCACAATAACACTTAGTGAGAGTGAAAGGAATCTACTTTCATCTGTTGGGATACAGGTGCATGGACCAGTCCGGTCTTACCCCCAATTATTCCTTAAGGATTGTGGAAAATTACTTACTACTGATTCAAAGAGGACTCTTCGTGACAATTCATGTGTACAGTATACAAAGGAAGGATTGTTTGTTGGCATTCTCCACAAAGTTATTCAGGCAGGAGAGACGCTTGCAATTGTAAAGAAGCTTGAGATAGTGGGAGAAACACTATGTACAGACACCACAACACATGCCAAGATCGGAGACCATTATCTGAAAGTATGCTTAGCCAGGTATGTGGAATAATTATTATACTACAACATTCATGTACAACATCTGATCTACATTGTTATGCAGAAGCAATGCACTGGATCTTGTTCAGATGAATCAGTTTCAAGAGAAATGCTTGTTGATTGACTTGAATGATAGCATGTTTGTCAGTATGTTTCCTCATCATATTATGTGCTTATCATAAATGAAACAATCTCTCACCATGACATACCAGGATGTGGTTCATCCAACAATCATCCCATCTTACTGCAAGAAAGACAATAAGAGACACTAGCACATCTTATAAAAAGTATAGAGGCTGTTAGACATTGGGAGAAACAAGGTTGTATATAGTTGGTCTACATAATTTTAGAAACAACCTTGTTACCAAGTTGTGATGCAACCACAAGCTACTAACAAGGTTGTTAGCAGCAGGCTCTAAATAACTACAAGCTCAGTAAGGGGTTGTAACAAGGTTGTATACCTACAACAAGGTTGTGGGGGGCATGTGACAAGGTTGTCACAATTTGGTAATTTCTGTATGGGGTGCTCTCCTAGACTGCAGAATGTCGTCGGTTCTAATCCCACCTAGGGCAGCTAATTTTTCCTTTGGAAAAAAGCTGTCCTGGCCGTGTAGTTGAATTGTTTGTTGTGGCCTTGCCTTTCTACCTCATATGTGACTCCTATGCATCCTCTACATGATTATATCTAAGATAATTTCTGCACTTTACCTCTCTATTCACAGTTTGTTGATGTGATGTTTCATATGCACTCTGCAGGTTCCCTCATTTCTAGAGAAGCTTCTACTGTACTGGTGGAGAAAAAAAATCATCGCCGTTCCGAATGTACTGGTGGTGCTCTATCATCATAATGAACCGGTGAGTGGTGGTTTGTTTTGTTATTGTTTTTCGACAGCCTCCAACTAACCATGTACCATAACAGTTATTTGGGGGTTGCCCCTGTGATGTAGGTTTTAGCCCCTACTGACCTTGCCCTGTTAGCTCATTGGGGAAAGGAATCGTGCCTCGACTGCAAAGTGAAGTGGCTTTGAATCTCACCCAGGGCAGCTCTTTTTTTTCTCGGAGTTGTCCTGGTGCGTAGGTAAGATGAAGGGTGTGGCTTGTCAGAGCTAGTGCAGTGCGCGTGTGTATGCTAAATTATGCATAAGTGAAATTGGTATGCGTATGTGCATATGCGCATTGCAAAGAGCGCACATGGCACTTGTTTCGAAAGAGAGAGAGAGTGCACAGCACAGGACTGGTCGAGCGCTTTCGGTGAGTTTAGAGGTAGTCTGTACGTGTTTAGCAAACAGGCAAGGAGGCGAAGGCATGCTAATACGCTCTCGTGTGCCCGTATATACCTTGCCTGTATAATGGGATGGCTTTTCGTGTACATTACAATAACTCTGTATACAATATTGTATGTCTCAGTGTGTGTTTATCAGCCAAAGTATGGATCCAGTGTTATTCGATTCATGTTCTAGAGCAAGTCCTAACCCCCTCCACCCCCACCCCTCTATCCCTACCTCTGGTCTAGTCCCCAGACCCCTCCCACTCATCATGTGGAAAAGGGGTCTGCTGTATATTTCTTGGTCCTAGATCTCAAAATCAAGATATCCAATCAGATGGCAGAACGGCCAATCAATGTCATGTGCATCGGTAGTCCGCGCACATTGGTTGTAGGTGGAGCCTCGCATGCATCACGTTACTGTACTGTGCATTGGATACTACCGATATGACGTGTTTAGGACCGAGCTTCGCGTCTAAAGCTACCAGACGCTCCTTCCCCTTGTGGGTGGAGCTACTAGTCTGGCAGGGCCACATCCACGAGCGCTAAGCTCGAGGTTCTGAGTGGATTAGCTTTTACTAGAGCTTGGCTAACTGGTTATATGCAAGTACAATATGACATGAGAACAGGCAATTTGAACATGGAACTGCTCATAATCGTGGAAGGAGAGGGGGAAGATAGGGAGGGAGGGAGGTATGGAGGGAGGGAGGGAGAGGGAGGGAGTAGTCTGGTGGTGGAACCACACCCACGAGCTGCCCACAAAGCGTGAGGGTCTGTTGGCAAGCTTATCGCAATTTGTACCCTGCTGTAGCATTTTTGCAGCCCAATCAGATTGCAGAACGTCACTTCTAAAACGTAAACATAATAACGTTATATCATGAGTACATATCACTTACAGTCAGCATACAATTTTGCATCAGCCTGCCATTGGTAGACAGCAACAAAGTGGTATATAGGTGTCCTACTCTGCACTTTTCCATGTGAGCTGTAACTATGTGCACCTCAATTTTTGTTGCAGGCAAGTGAATAAAATGTTATTTTCCTCTAGGCTCTTTGTGCCAAGAAGGCGGCTCGCAGGAGTCCGGAGAAAAATGTTCTGAGAAAGATTATTGTGAGAGTAAATATGTTTTTGTTAGTAGTTCTGAGGGTGAATCAGGGGAAGGTTGGGAGAGTGAGTCGGAAACAATTGACAATAGCTCACTCTACATTCCCACACCTGACCATCCCATGGGGATAAATTTTTTTATTTATAAGGTTGATGCATGATGGCAATGGCACAGACAATAGCAACTAAATGCTAATATTAAGCCTGCCCAAGACACAAAAGCAACAAGGAAGAAAACAGACAAAGACAAAAAAAACAAAAGAAATAAAAAAGTGCACAAACTAGGATATGCTAAATAGTGAAAGAGATTTCAACCGTTTTTTGAAGGAGAAGCTAGATGGAGCACTGACGACTAGGTCTGGTAAACTGTTCCAAACGCGAGTGCAACTGATGAAGAAAGACGACTGATGAGAGGCAGTCCTGGCAAAGGGAGTGACTAACGGATAGGAGTGATGAAGGCGCCGTCTAGGGTTAGGCTGAGGGGTGAAATAAGTGGGAGGAATGATTGAGTGGCCTTTGAGAATACGAGCACAGATCATGGTCTTCTGCCTCCATCGCCGCTCCTTGAGTGGACATAAACCAAGGGAGTGAATAGGGTGAGTTGAAGAATAAGGGGTAAACCAACGATTGGTGATAATTCTGGCAGCCAGCCTCTGAACAGATTCAAGTTTGTTGACAAGTAAACTAGACTGGGGATCCCAAACAGAGCTACAGTAGTCCAGAGTAGGCAACACAAGGACATGGTAAAGGTGGAGTAGGGTAGGTGGGTTGGCTTGGTTGAAAGTCCTGTGAATGATGCCTAGTTGTTGCCACAAACGTTGGTGATGTGAGTGTTCCACTTGAGGTCACTTGAGACGGTGACTCCAAGGAAACAGATGGAATCAACATTCGGTATAATAGTAGAGTCGACAGCAACAACGACAGCAGGACGCATATTCTTGCGAGAGAAGACAACAACTTTAGACTTGTTCGCATTTAAGCAAAGGCCAGCATTGCTGATCCACTCAGCAACTTTATTAATGTCCGATTGAAGAGCATCGACATCGCAGGAGGAGGTAATAGGTTTGTAAAGAACAATGTCATCAGCGTACATTATCATGGTAGAATCTTGACAAAGGGGAATCTTTGTCAGAGAGTTTACATAGATGGAAAACAGAAGAGGGCCCAAGATGGAACCTTGAGGTACACCAGAAGTGACAGGGTGGACTTCCGAGGTGTAACCATCCAAGGCAACTCGTTGAGATCTGTTTGATAGGTAACTACGGAACCAGTTAAGAAGAGAACCCGATACACCAACATTTGCAAGAGCAGATAGGAGTTGGCAGTGTGGAACTTTATCGAAGGCTTTTGACAAGTCGAAGAATACAGCAGCCACAGAGAGGCCCTTGTCGAGATAACAAGACCAGTCATGGGTGGCGAAGAGTAAAGCCTCCTGGGTGGAGCTACTGGGGCGAAAACCAAATTGGCGAGAAGAAAGAAGGTCATTAGACAATAGGTGGTTTAGGAGTTGGTTATGAACAATCCGTTCAAGAATCTTTGATGGAAGAGAGAGTAAGGAAATTGGCCTGAAGTTCATGACACATCGAGGGTCACCTTTACCTTTGAAGACAGGGGTAATGTTAGAGACCTTCCATTCAGATGGAACCGCACCTGTAGAGAGGGATGCATTGAAGAGCTTGGTTAAAGTAGGGGATGTCGCGTATGCAGTGTGACGAAGCATGTGACTGGAGATACCATCAGGGCCAGAAGCAGTCTTCACCTTCACGGATCTAAGCAGTCTGTAAATCTCGTCAGAGGTACAAGAGATAGTAGACAAACTTGTCTCAGGATGCCGACAGTCTAGGAGAGATGATTTACAGGGACAGTCCTTGCCATGAGACGAGCGAGAAAAACAGGCGGAGAAGTGAGAGATGAGAAGGTTGGTCTTGCTGATAGGAGACACAACAGTGGTGATGCCGTCATTTAATGTAGAAGGAATTCTCTGTCTGTTTGGAGTAAGAGAGTGGTACAGAGACCAAAACTGCTTGGGGGAACGTATGAGTGAGGCCAGGTTTTCAAAGAATTTGCACTTAGATTTCCGTAAGCCAGAGACTGATTTATTGCGGAGCAATCGGAACTTATTCAGGTAGAAATTGGAATTGGTTGATTTGAATTGAGAGAAAGCTGTCACATTTACGAAATAGATTGAGTAACTCAGACGATATCCATGGTAGAGATTTCTTCACTCTGCAGACCTTCGTTGGAATATGTGAGGAGAGAACTCGTAACAGGTGGGACTTCCAGCTAATCCAGGACAAATTAATATCATCAGTGGGGGAAGGAAGAGTAACCAGGATCCTGCAGATTGTCTCCCAATCGGCGCGTGAGTAGTTCCAGATTCGACGGGTGACTTTTATTGCAGGACACTACGCCCAGTTAAGTGATACTTGGATAGATCTGTGGTCAGAGGAAGCGAGTGGTGCACAGGTGGAGCAAGAGAGCATCAAGGATGGATTCGTCAAGTACACATGGTCGATGGTGGTTGAACTAGAACTGGTTATTCTGGTAGGCTCAGTAACCAGCTGTGTAAGGTGAAATGAAGAGAGCATACCAGTTAGGTCCGTCGACACCTGATTCTTGGCCAGCAGGTCAACATTGAAGTCACCAAGAAGGAGGCAAGACTTCAGCTGGGATGGACTTAGAGACAGAAAGGCATCCTCAAGGTCGGTGAAATCAGAAACAGATGACGGAGGGCGGTAATAGAGAGCGAATGTGAGTAAGCCTTGTCTGAATTTCAGTTGGACAATAAGGAGCTCGAGAGAGAGATGCCGACAGATACAGGTAGATGGGATATCATCACTTACATATATTGCGAGGCCACCTCCGCGACGATTTCTGTCTCGACGAATTAGGTGGAAGTTATGGATGAACAAAGCTGAGTCAGGAATGTCCTCGTCTAGCCAAGTCTCACAGAGAGCAATGATAGAAGGTGTAGAAGAGGCAACAGTAGCCCTCTGGGTGATCCATTTTGGGAAGAAGACTCGACAATTGGAGTAATAGACAAGCAAGAGCCAGTAGGAGAGAGCGGCGGGGTATCGAGGATATGGAGCAGCAGGAGAGAA